TGTGCTACTTTCAAGCAGGTGGTAAGCAATCAGATTTCCTTTTTTCATCTTTCATCTTTCATCTTTTAGTTCTTACTATGATGCTAGACACGAAACAAGGCGTACCGGATTGCCTGACAATTCGTGAATCAATGCCCCCAGCTGGGTACCCCAAAAACACATGCCACACTTGTACCTCGGGCACAAGCAGGACCAACCCACTACCCTTGTGTCACAGGGTCTAGGTCCCCATCCAAACTAGGACTCCAAGCCCCCGCCCCTGAGTCCCGGACTCAGTGCGGTGCAAGGACCTCCTAACCCAAAAACCACCTTGACAGTCGGTCCGAAAAGAGCCGAAACCCATGACAAGAGAGTAACAAGTCTTCCAAGTGCCTATACCCAAGTATATGCTCGGGATAATAAGTCTGTGACTTGCCCACGATACCTTATGCAACGACCGGTCCTTAATCGACACGACAGGGAAAGCAGTGTAACCAAGCTATGCCCCGCGTCCACGACGACATAATCTCTTACACCCACCAATACCCAAACCATATCCTTGCTCGGTCACCAATTTCCTTTCCACCATTTATATTTTCCAAGTGATAATAATTCAATAATATATTTTCTATCTCTCGCGAGTGACAGGCAATCACTCGACTTCTATCGAAGTCCTGTAGCATAGCAATCTACACGATTCTGTCATACTAGTAAGACTCATAGGATAAAGATATATATATATATATGCAAGTGGGTTTCATTCAACTCCTTAAAACTTAATGCACAAATATAATTTAAACTACAGAAAAGTAGGGGTTATGCATCAGGGGGCTTGCCTGGGTAAAATATAAATAAAAGTTAGTATTTGTATTTTCAGATCATCCACCATCATCTGAATAGAAAGTTCATTGCATCATCTTCTAGAGAGAATACCATTACACCATCTTCGAATTCCCAATCATCCTTCAATTGATCCGTTGATCCATCATTGTACCTATATGATATGCATTGATGCAAATGCATAGATGTAAATAATCAACGACAGCCAAAATGCTTAGAAATACGATCACGCCTCACAAGCTAACAAGATAGCTCTAACGTTGGTCTACGTATCTATGTTGTCGAATAAGGCGTTACTTCCCAACCAATGTTTTAGTTATACAAACCCAAATTGTTTCTTTATTTCATTCTATCGATTTAATTATTAGTCGAAATAGAACATCATTATTCATCTAGCGAAATAATTATTTGGAGCTACAAAAATTACAGTGAGCAGCTAATACTATCAGTAATTTACTGTAAAATTTTTAAAGTCAACACTACCACCGATTTATCAAGGAAATTCCTACAAGTTCTCCTTTTAACAATATTAAGCCTTTTAAAATAATTAGAGCAACCCTAAAAACATATCGAGTCTATATGAACAAAATACACTACTAGGTAGATCATGATTTCAGAAACTCAACAAAACTGGTTTGCCATTTTTATGATTTTTCTATGATTTTCTATGAATTTTACAAGTTTATTTCCGAAACTAATTTTTGTAATCACCTTAGAAAACACAAGGGGCCAGCGGCCACCAAACGGCCCAGCGGAGGATGCGCTGGTTCGCCCAAGAAGACACAATGGCATGTACAGCCCAAAATGCAAGAAGAGCAAGCCACCGAGGCCCAAAGGGACGACGCGGCCCCAAAGGGTGGCAACAACAGTTAGCCCAGCAAAGCGAAGCCTGGCCCAAGCGACGCTGGTAGTAGCTTAAGTCGGGCGCTGCGCGTCCGCCAAAAAGCAGCCGTGGCCAATAGCCGACCCATGCGGCCAGGATCTAGAGAGGACGCGTAATTATGCAAAAAGGACCCTGCGCTTTCTCAAAACTAACCATCAGTCCAACATGTACTATTCATACGAGTCACGTATTTCGCAGGCTTGGATTCATACCCTTCGCTTCATCTTCTACATACAGAGGAGCAGAGGAGCACCGGCCGGCCAAATCTCGGCCACCCATCGCACCCGCCGGTGGGGAAAGACGGCGCGGGGCAGCGGCGAACCGCGGTGCGCCCGGGCGTTGCAGCACGGGCGCCGAGGAACAGCGGGTCCAGTGCGGGACCGGGGGCATGGGCGCGCTCGTGCGCGGTGCCTGGTGCTCGACGGAGGAAAGGCGGAGCTACGACTGGAGCGGAAGGCGCAGTGAGGGTGGCCCAGCGACGACGCTCCCGGGACGCATGGCGGAACGGCGCGTGGGGCAACGGTGGCTCCAGAGGGCAGCGCCATGTCTTCGGTCCAGCGCATCTGTAAGGCAGGGCGACGACGAGGTGCGGCAGGGGACGGAGCCGCGCGCGGGCTTAGTGAGAGGAAGGAGAGCGGCGTGGTGCTGCGGCCGGATGGCCCTGCGGTGGAGGCGCGCCAGCGGTGAGCCGTGCACGCACGAGGGCGCCTATGCGGTGGCGGGGACGCCGACGCTACACGCGGGCGTGAGGCGCGGCTACGGCAGGGGCGCGCGATGTGGGGAGGCAGAGGAGAGCGTCGGTACTCGCTGAGGAGCGAGGAAGGGGTGGCGCTGGGGCGTCATCGGGCGTGGCCACTACGATGGTGCGGGTGCACGGGAGGGCAGCACAGAAAACTGCAGGTCCAGTGCGGCAGAGGGGCGTGGGCGCGCTCGCTCGCGGGGATGGGCCAGCACCGGCGGGGTGAGACGGCTCGGCGAGGGCAGGTCCTCCGGCACCAGCGGACCCGGCACGGACGAATGGTGGGGTGCTGCGGCTCCGACATGGAACCAAGGGAGCCCGCGCTCTCACGCGAGGGACCGACGGCGGACGGCACAGTCAAACAGTGGAGAGGAGCCGAGCGAGAGAGAGCAAGCGAGGAGGGCGAGCAGCACGGCAAGGCGAGCTGGGAGGGAAAGCAGCACCAGTGCGTGAGAAGAAGGCGAGGAGCCGCGCATGGCTGGGGCGCGCCTACACGTGTGGTGCCGGTAGCAGCAACGGCGGTATGCCACGGCGGCGCTGCGGTTGCTGCGGCCCGGGAGAGGCAGTGGAGAGGAAAAGGAAGGGGACGCGAGGAGTAGGCCAAGGAGACTGGGACGCTGTCAATTCGGGTGCTTAGCTCGGCAGAGAGGCAGTCTAGACCAGCGAGGACAGATGGAGACAAGCCGTAGCAGGCAGAGACAAGCTGAGCTAGGCAAGGCAAGCAAGGTCAGAGCAAGTAGCAGCAGACCGGAGCTGGGGCGACTCCTCCACGACACTAGAAAAGGAAGGAGCGGGAAGCAGCACGAGGGATGTACACGTCGTACACCCGCCAGAGCACCGACACGGAGGCGAGGATGGGACGGGGCAGCGTGGCCGGCAGCGGCGCACCTGCGCGTGCACAGAACGTGAAAGGACATGGCGAGGGCAAGGGGCAGAACCACGTGTTCCGATTGAAAATTCGGACCAGACCACCAGCTTCGCAAGCACGAGAGGAGCTGTCAGTCAATTTATACAGTCTTGTGCAGAGACGACAGACAGGGACATGTTACAACTGCACTTAGCGCCACTGTTACATGTAGGAGTACGTTTTAAATCAAAAATCCGAGAAACTCGTTTCGAAAATTTTACTTAGGCCTAAATCGCGGAGTTAAACAAGGTCGTAACACCAGAGGTGTTACAGGCGGGCGGGCGCGGCGGACGCATGTGCGGGCGCGGTGGGTAGGGCGGTGGCGTGGCGCGGCGGGACTAGGCCGCGGGCCTATATTAGGCTCTGGCGCGCCCTGACGAGTGGCGCGTCACTGCCGTGCCATGATGCGTGGCGCGTCACCACCACGCCCTGATCGGTGGCGCGACAAAGCTGATCACGTCACCGAATTTTTTACTTTTTAGCCCTTTTTTCGAAAGTTTCTCACAAATAGACCCCTAGCGGAAAGAATTCAAAAAATGGACCCTAGCTCGGCGCCAGCGTCCCTGGCGCCGAGCCCCTGGGCTAGGGCAAACTTACATGGAAGGAAGCTCGGCGCCAGTCACTCTGACGCCGAGCTCGGCGCCGTTGACGATGGCGCCGAGCATGCGGTACGACGTGCGTGAATAGCAAAGTACGACGTGCGTGATTTTCTGACAGAGGTCGAGGGCCGATTACGCCGGAGGGGGAGGAAGGAAAGAAGAATCCATTGGATCGAGGACATGCAATCGGTGGGCAGGCCAAGCCTTTGTCGTCGTCGTAAAGCCCCCGACGACGGTAGGGTGAATACCGGACCATCTGTCGATGGATCGATTGATCGTGAGCGTAAGTGAAATTTTTGTATTTTGGTCCTTTTGAAAACATTTTAACCTAGCACATTGCGGGTGCGGAGACCATTCGAGCGGTAGAGACGATGCTACCGGAGGTAGTGTATGCCCGCCGCGCTAGTCTGCTGCGGCAAGCCAGGTAACGTCTCGGCGCCATAGGTCATGGCGCCGACCACTAAATTTAACCTGACACCCTAGTTTTATCGTGAGATGGATATATAAAATCTCACGGTAAAACTAGGGTGTTAGCCAAAATTTTATATATCCATTTTGGCATGCTCGGCGCCATCGTCAACGGCGCCGAGCTCGGCGCCAGCATCTACGGCGCCGAGCTCGGCGCCAGAGTGACTGGCGCCGAGCTTCCTTCCATGTAAGTTTGCCCTAGCCCAGGGGCTCGGCGTCAGGGACGCTGGCGCCGAGCTCGGCGCCAGCATCGGTGGCGCCGAGCTAGGGTCCATTTTTTGAATTCTTTCCGCCAGGGGTCTATTTGTGAGAAACTTTCGAAAAAAGGGCTAAAAAGTAAAAAATTCGCGTCACGTCACCGGTCAGGGGCCCTGGTCGCTGCCACGTACGCAGCCTTGCCGCGCCCCATGCATGACGCGGCAGCGTTAATTCGCCGCGCTGTGCGAATTGCGCGGCCAAAAATGTTAGATTTGAAAAAAAAACAGTGCTAGTTTTAAAATTAGTTTAAAAAATGTGTTAAAAATAAAAAAAAATCCCCTAGCGGGCTGCCCGAGTGCCCGGGACCGACTTGGGGCTTGGGAGCGGATGGGCGACGCGTCTTCGTCGTCCTGGCCATCCACGGGCGCCGCGGCAGCGTACGACTACGAGCGCGATCCGCGGTGGGCGGAGTACCGCGCGAGCTCCGCCGTGCCGCCGCACCTCTTCTCCCACCCCTACGTCCGCGCGCAGCTCCAGCAAAAGTTCTACCGCCGCTTCGTCGTACGTACTACTCCACTCCACTCCACCACGCCGCAGTTCTCTCGTCTCTGTGCTCCCCCAGTAGCTTGCGATCTGCATTTCGGATAGGGCGTGCTTGTGTGCCGGCAGTTCCGTCAGCGTCGCACTGCCCGAGCGCCTGCACTGCTGCACTCGCCCGGGGATTTTCGAGATCTGGGCATCTGGCGCGGTTGCTTTCGTCGCTCCGTCCCGCTCGGCCGCTCGAATTCCCTTCGTTTCTTTTCCACCACAAAAAAAAGAGAGCAAAAATAAAGAGGAATATTGGAGCAATGGCTGGAACCATCCGTTTTGTGATCCCGCCCCTGAACTGTCCGAAATCACGGGCTGCCCCGGTGCTGCTGCTGCTGCTTTCGGATGGATGATGATGCCCCGTGGGGCTACTTGGCCATCACAACGAATAATAAACGGCCTCCATTGCCAAGGAAATTTCAGAGGCGGAATTGAGATAGTAGTAGGCGAGGCCGGGGAGGGAGGGTAGGGAAGGGAGACAGGGAGGGGTCAGTCGTCTTCCTCTGTCCCCGTGCTGCGCCTTTGCTTCGGAGTCTTCTAGATTCGAGGAGAGGGCTCTCTTTCTCTCTCCTTGCCTGGCCTGCATCGGAAGCTACGATTGGCGCTCTCTGCCCCTACAGTGGCAGGCCGGAAATTATTTTACGCAGGTTAGGTTTGCTGCTTATCTATCTCCCTTCCGAGCGTCTGTATGGCTTATTTGTATTTGGCTGGTGCAAATCCCCAAATCTGATTTGGCTCCCCGCACTGCGCACAAATGCCGCCGCTGCTCCCACTGCTGCCGCCTTTGGCCGTATTTTTTTCTGCAACAAAGATGGGGATAGTGATGCGTGAGGGGGATCTTGAGCGAGAGTGTAAGATCGAGTGCTACAAGCCTGCCAAGTCTGAGGCAGGCTTAGTTTACTTTCAGAGAAAATTGGTCGGGCAGGTACCATGCTCTCGTTTTGTTGTGGGCTTGTGGTTGTGGCGATGCCCCGTCCTCCTTGGCCGGTTCCAAGCTTGTGGCCTGGTAGGCTGGTAGCCCATTCATCTTTCACTTCGTAGCAAGGACGGAGGAAATAAAGCTCCCGTTCGTCTCATTTCTTTAAGAAATTCGCCTATTCTTGCCTCGTTATGGGTATCTTTCAGAGTCATCCTCTCTGGTCAAGTTTGTTCTGGGACATATGCTCTCTGCTCAACTGTAGCAGGTGACACCACTGCAGACATTCATGAAATGTTTTTTTTTTCCGGTTCTATTTTAGTTTGCTAACTGTTCCTTGTAACTGGTCCAGACATTCGGTTAGCTCCGCATGTTACTCTGGGACTGTACAATCTTGCTATGGACTGTTGAAATCATCTGTTCATCTTGTACTTATCTGATGAAATATGACTGAATGTCGTCTTGATAATTCAGTCAACTGTTGAATTAGGAAAGATTTCAGCACAGAGCAGAGTACGTGATGCTGCTCTCTCTCGAGCTCTATATTGAGCCTCATTGGGTTGATTCACAGGCTGAGTCAGCAACAATTTGATTTGGTGACTTCTGCTCATTTGTTTAGGAGTGTGTATCAACATTTTCTCCCTTCAACAAAACTCTGTAGCATGGGATTACTGAACAGTTGTCATGAATAATTTAATATATTTCGTCTACTTCGTTTTGGTGATATATCTGTATTTGATATCATTGCATGCCTAATATGCCTAAACATCTGTTTAGCCCGTTTAATGCTAAGATGGCTGTTTAGCAATGATTAACCTGCCATATTGTCTGATAATTTGCTGAACGATGGTGACCAACCGATTGGTATTTAGTATTTAAGTGACACTCTTTCATACGCATAACATGATTCTATGATGGTTTATCTGCTGAATTTGGATGCAGGATCCTGATTTCTCTGTTGAAGGAATGTCCTCAACCACATCTACCCAGCCCTCAGCATCTTCAGGTGGTGCATCTACTTCAGCTGATGAGAATGCAAGGTCTCCTGATTCAGGTGATAAGGAGCATACCGCTTCACCTTATGAGTTATTATCTTAAGTCCTCATCTGAGAATGGATTTTGTAGGCACCAATTCTTCTGGACCAGCACGAAGCATACTGTCTCTACAGTTGGACCAGCGGTCATTACATTTTTCCGTTAGTGCTTGGGTAATAATTCTTGCAAAAAAGTTGTTTTTGGCAAATTTTCTATATGTTTTAAGCAATTCATCTCTGAAGTCCAGTTGGTTTGTTGATTGGTATGTCTTTTGGGAGTACCGGACCATTCTCAGTAAGGTAAAGGATATTACTAAAAAAATTTGAGGCTTAGTTGAAAGGTTTGTAAACAACAGTTGGATTGTGGAATTAAGATCTTATCTAGACCAACTCAAGCATGTTTTATTTTAGCTAGTTCAGCCAGCCAGTCTTGTTAAGGGGAAATATCGGCTGAAGCCCTCTTCACTGATAGCAATCCGTATTTAGAATTCTCATAAGTGAATGGATGGTCAGGATTCATTAATCATGTTATTGGAGTAATAAACTTACATCATACTAGATGAATAAAAAATTCAGTGTGCAGCAGCTACTTTATTTATGTGCTATAGTTGAAGAACTAGAAGACATTGGGATCTTTAATGTACAAAGGAATAAGTCCTCAGTGCCTGATCTCACTTGACCATGGACTTAATGACTGAATGTACATCGCGTCTGCCTAGTAATTTTTCTTATCTACTCTTAGCAAGCTATCGTACATGCTTCTCTGGGATTTATCATATTATCGATGTATTATCAATTCTGTACCCTCAGTATCTACTCCCTCCGCCCCAAAAAGAAGGACGTTATGGGATGCGTGCAAGTCAAACTTTCTCAACTTTGACTAGATTTGTACAAAATGCGTGCAACATTTTTATCTCCAAATAAGTTTATTATGAAAGTACATTCAATGATGTATCTAATGATACTAATTATGTATTATAAATATTAATATTCTTTTATATATAATTGGTCAAAGTTAAAAAAAGTTGACTTCTCGGAAAGCGAGAATGACTTCTATTTTGGGACAGAGGGAGTACAGTTTATCAGTATCAGTGCTCCAACATGCGGTAGCTTGATTTATGAATGCTTCTCGGCTAATCGCTTCCATATATGAGTGAAGAGCAATAACAACCTTTTGTGTTGATCATATACCATTAATTTTCTTCTTTTTTTTTCTATTAGGTTCTTATTGTTGCCTTGATTGGCATCTTTCCATTGGCACCGCATTCCCTCCAGTACAAGGGATATAGGTTGTCACTTCTTGGCACAACATGTACTACAGGCTATGCTTTGTTTGCTTTGTACAGGGTATGGGACACGGAATTGATTTTTTAAATTAATATTCGATCCTCCTCAACTTAGATGCCTTTACTATTTAAACGTTTTCTACTGATAAACCATTTCCTTCCTATCAGCTACCCCGAGCAGGGAACCTGCAGGCTGTTCAGGCCTGGTGTCACCATGTAACTTCATCAAAGGATTTTATACCATTCATGTACTGCCTTATGTTTGCTACATCTAAACTGCACTTGAAGCGTAAGCATAAGCTATTCACTTGACATGAAGCTCAGTAACATTATTACCTAACCATCTGAGTTTCCTTGTGCATAATGAGATACTCTTTTCTGGCAGTTGTTTTGGTACCTGTAATTTGTTGGGCACTTGAACATGTCGCTCGATTTCTACGCCGCCATTTTACTAACTCATCTTTGTACAGGTAAATTACTTGATGGATTTCTGGAGTTATGTAGTTCATCCTAGTCATTGACTTTTAGGATTAAAAAACAATAGATTAGATGCTGTATCTAGTCATGGTTTGTATTATTATTTTGGTTACCAGGTTATTTTCATCTTTTCTGAGCTTCTACTTCCTACAAAGCCATAACATAGCAGTTTCTGTACACTGGTGATGCACTTGATTCTCTTGACAGTTGCAATAGTTGAACGCCCCTTGTCCCTTGTAAAACGCAAAGCATAATGCTTTATATGTTGGGACTTGGATGTTAATGTGTCATATGCAGCCCATTAGGGTCCATGAGATGGAGCAGCCCCAGGCCATGCTCAAGGTGGCACACTGTTCACACAAACAATAACCTCATTTTATTGTTCACAACAGCTCTAGATTAAATTTGATATTTATATTTAGATATAATATTAGATTGAATTAGTTCCTTAATTCTAGTGATTGGTTTCATAAACCTCATCTATATATCTCTTTGGTTAAGCAAGAAATAGATCAAGGTTCCTATGGGAGACTCCTTTATCCCTGCCTTGTGGTGCGTCCATCAGGCATTACTTCAGGGCCATCCGAAGAATGCCCACGACATAATGAGCTAATAAGACACACATTAGTTTTTAACTTTTTATGGCTTATAAAAAATACTTGTTCCCTTTTATTGAATGAAAATAATATTTGTCCTTTTGATCTGTTGGTAAAAATTGTTATCACATATGAGTGTGTTAATTTGCAGGACATACTTAGAGCAGCCTTGTACATGGGTTGAGACAAACACAACTGCAGTCCACTTTCTACGTTCAAATGCAGAGATTTTGTTGGGCTTTCTTTTGATCATATCCCTGTTCTCGTGAGTTGATCCTAGTCTTTTCCTTTATTTTTCACCCTCTCACTCTCTTCTATTAGTCACTTAACTTCCAATTCCTATTACTACCTGTGCAGGAGACAGCGAAATGTTATGCAAACATTCATGTATTGGCAGGTTAGTTAATGGAGATCCACCTGCTTTATAAACAGCACAAGAAACCTAACCCAAAGATTATCACTACGCTGTCTTGGATATACTGATATGTTAATTTGTCATCACACATTAGGTGTGTATGCTCTACATGGCTGGCCCTTGATGGCATACCTTTGACCTCTAGCATAATGATATTTCACTTGCTGCAAATCTCCTCCCCATAGCTAATGCTTGCTGGTGGGCAAATATTAGAACAATCGATTATTAGAGAAATTTTTTAATGCATGTGGACTTGCAAATATGTTTTGAAGGGTCAAATATAACCATGCCAGATTGTCTAATATAACCATGCCCATTAGCAATTAGAAGGGAATCTAGGCAACAATCTTTGCTTCTGCATGGCTGAACTCTGTTACATCCACCAGATTTAGAACGTCAGGACTGTACCAATAGCCTTTATAACATTTTGCAGAATCTGATGGTTCATTAAATTCTAATGTCATTCTCTTTTCCTGGTGGTGCAGTTGCTGAAGCTCATGTACCATTCTCCCTTCACTGCCGCTTATCATAGAGCTATCTGGCTTAAAATTGGGCGGACAATTAACCCATATATCCACCGTTACACCCCTTTTCTTCATGACCCGATAAATGCTGGCATGAGATGGTGGTTTAGGTAGTTTGAATGAGCACCGTTAGTCATGTAAAGAGATGCAAGTATGTTTATGGTATTATTTCACATTTGATCCAAAGAGAATCTTTGAGAACATTGCTGCTTGTGACTGATGTTATTAGTCCCTTGTGTGGCTTTGAGCTGATGATAATTCTTAGTAGTTAGTATGATCAGCAACTCAGTAACTCTTGTAACTAGAGCTAGTCGAGATCTTGGCCTGTTTGGCATGAACTGAAGTTAGATGGGTAGGTTATTATTGTGACCGAATTCTGTTTTGGTTTTCTGACTATTGCGAGCCACATATTAGTGTTATCAAAAGGATGTTATTATTCTACCAGCGTTATATGGTTTTCACCTATTGCAAAGTTTTAGTCGAAGTGTCAGTGTGTACATAAAGCAACATTCTCCTGTTTTACTGAAAGGAATCACCAATCGGCTCAAAACTACATACTTGTTAATGGTTTTTACGGCTAATGCAGTTTTGTTGTGAAAGAAAAACACTATACCATGGCTAAAAAGCTGGTCTGATGATAAGTTCAAGCGAACAGGATAATGTTTACTGGCCAAATGCACACAGCTTACCAAAATGCCAAGCTCCCTGGAGTGACTCCCCTTGGTCAGTCCCGCAAAATTTAATGGCATGACCAAACGAGCTGGTTATTATAGAATTATAGTTTTGCGCATTTTATCATTAAACTTTGGATTACAAAAGAAAGCTAAAATTAAAAATTAAAATCCCTAGGGCATGGCACCTGAAAACCTCCCATCAGAAATTGATAATACCGCAGCACCGGCCGATACAAAAATAGACTAATTGCGAAATTCAAATAAGTCAACTGTGAGCAGAGATTTTGCCCAAAATAAAAATGGGCAGTGAAGATGAGATTGAGAAGGGCAAACACCATCGCCCTTTCATTATTCACGGGGTTGAACCAAAAAAAGGAAAAGAAAAAGTATCTTATCCCTCGCTGGATCCCAGGCTACAACGAAACACTACAGTTTTACCTACCCCTTGTCGTCGAGCAACTTCGAACCTTTCAGCTAAAATCTAGTGTTCACTCAATGACCCTCCCATTATTCCTTAGGAAGGCTGAACAACCGTGGCAATCTGTGAACTGCCACCGTTGAAGTTGGTTTATGGAGATTGCAACTCCAGGCCCGCTTAAACTTGCCAGTCCCTAGTTGGCCACACCGCCCCTCGCATCACAACATGTTTCTGTGGAAGTTTGATGAAGGCTCCTACTTCTGCTTTCCGCATCCCTCCTTTCTCCTCGCGTTTACTTCAGCAGCCCAGCTCTTACCAATCTCTGTCTGGAACTTGCCTGAAACACATGTTAAGCAAATGTTTGGTGAAAAGGGGACAGCTGGAAACGAACGCCACTTTGGACATAGTGACTTAGGAAACAGAGATGGATCAAATTACCAGCAGTGGAGAGAAAGAACTCATCTAGCACTTTGCCATGTTCTGTAAATTTCGAGATGAATCAAGTTAGAAGGATAAATGCATTCAGATAGTCTTACAAGATGAGTAAAACGCCAACACATGACAAGAGTTATTTATTGTGAAGTCTTTCAATTTTGAAGTGAAAAGTTTGGTAACAAAGTGCAATTAGTTTGGTTATATTACACCTTATATGCAATCAATACTCACAATTCTAAGCTGTGACGCTAGTTCAACAAGCCAGGTTCTTACATGTGTTTTGCATAACCTCATAAACCATAATGATTTATCAAGAATAACATCACAAAAAAACATGATAATCTATTATCCATACTTCATACTAGGAGCAAATCATTTCATATCAACAAGGCAGTTTACTCCCTTGGAGTGTTCACAATATTCAACAGGAATACTTTAACTGAATATATGGCATAGCCAACTATACTTAAGGACAATGAAAGGTGGCTTATGTTTTGAATGTACACAAATTTGCCATCACAAAAAAGTTATTACCTTTCTCATATTCCAATGCTTGAAGAATCATTTCCACCTGAAAAAAGGCGAAATGTAAAACACAACACACCAAATAGATGATAATAATGAAGAACACAACAAAAGAAAATGCATGAAAGTAATTGTATTGCTAAACATAAAAAAAAAATATACACGAAATATCCATCATGTAACAAAAAAACTAATTTGCACGCTTTGAAGAATAAAAACTATGGCATATGAGGAAGAAACCTCAAAGTAGCTTTACTAGCATTCTTTGGAATTAAGACTAACAAATTACGCAAGTTGCAACTTGGTAAATAAGGCCACGCAGAACAAGAAGTCTATTATGCCACGTCATACAAACATGCAAGCAACTCATCAATCACCAATTCAATTCGAAACAAACTAAGAGCAAGTACTTGTGATGAACTTGCTCTAAAAGTTCATAATCTACCAAGGTTGGTAAATCTGACGGATCTGGTAAGTAAAAGCAAACTTATACATTGCTACAGCTAGCAGTCATGAATCATGATGAAAATTAATATCACACAGTGGAGAGAGTCAGATAACAATAATGAAAGGACATTAGAAAAACAACCGCCTTCTTACTTTATCAAAATCTTTTACAAGATTGGCTTCAATAGAAGAATTGTTTTCATATTCTTCCCACAGCTCTTTAATCTCATCAGCTGCAAAATAAAAATATTATAGATAAATAGTTAGTCTTTTGGTGTTGGAAGTTTCTACATGATCTGACGTTTAACATAAAAAAAATGTGCACCCACCAATTGGCCCACCACCAAGAACTTCACACATTTCATCTAGAGCTGCTTGTTCACGCCGGCTTTTTTCAGCCTTAGGTATACCATCCGATGGGGTAATGTCACCAACAATAGCTGTTAAACAAAAAATTTGAAGGCAGGCTTTGTGGATTAATTAGGCATTTAAGCTAATAAAGTATTGGCAGGCGAAGTGTAGTTTTTGTGATCAGATAAGTGCATTGGACATGCAACACACCAACAGTTTGTGTACTGCATGGCAGACATGACCTACCTTCAGCAATGTCATGCACAATAGCAATTTTGATACACCTGTTTAAAAAAGAAAAGCTTAATGATCGTCAACACCAAATAGAAAACTGACATATGACAACGGCCAAAGCATAACGAAACCGAGAAAGATAACAATAATTTGAAGATATGGACCTTTCTCGATTCGACAGCAGTCAGATCACCAGCAATCAGAGCCATCAAGGCCATTCGGTACATGTGATCAGCAATAGACTCAGGGCCCTTGACGCTATGGTTTATCCATCCTTTCCTTTTGGTGGTCTGCAGAATAAACAAAAGGAATAAGCACCAGAATCATGTGACATGACGAACCTAAGCATAAACGAAATGAGGGGCATGAATGGATGAACCAAATCATTGCACATGCACAGGGCAGTGCAGCTACTTTTACTTTCTCTGTGCATTTCAGAATTTCTTACAAATTTTGTGAGCATCTCCGGTCTGATCCTACGCGTTACAGGAAACACCAATATTGATAGAGAGCGGCCTTGGAACAACATATCAGGGGGCGACCGATTAGGACGAGCCCCGATTAGTGTCTTGTACCTTGAGGCGATGACACAGGGTGAGGAAATCGATGACCGAGGCGGCCGACGACGGCGCCGAGGTCGGCGCCACGGTCGCGGCGTCCGCCGGCGGTGGCTGCCGCCTGGGAACGGGCGATCCGCCCGGTCCAGGCCACCCGCAGACGGCGGGGACGACCAGGGCGAGGCGGCGCGGAGTGCGCTCGACGGGGAGGATGCACGGCGGGGTGCGGCGCAGGAGCCCGCGCGCCGCTGGTTGGGAGGGGAACCGCGAGCTCACCGCCATCGGGGAGAGCTCCGGTAGACGGGGAGGGCTAGGCTCTGGATCGGAAAGGTCAGAGATCAACGGCGGTGTGCGGCGGCGGCTTTGGCCTCCCTGTTTTACTCTGCGCCTCTCCCTGCTTCTGGGGATATCCTCATGATGATTCATGTATTATTTAATAATTAACATTACGTAAAAGAGATGGTTAATCCAACAGTACATAACCCTGCTTCACGTCTCGGCCATGAAATTAACGATGTGAGCAAACGGCCACAGCAACTCTCTCTACACCTGACCTTAACTTAAGCAGGCATTAGAACTCGAAGCGAGCATACAAGGACATCAATCGTCAACCACCCCATCCATTTACACCCATGACAGTGAGAAGCCTCTCCATTACACCCAGTTCTGCGATTAGATTACACTGAGCTGTAGAGACCATTCACCGGGTATAAGCAACCCTGCGTTAGGGGCCTCGGTACCGGCGGAAGCACGAGAGGCAGCCCTGCGTCTGATCCTTGGGGATCATGCCACCACCCTTGGAGGTGTCGATCGCCTCCAGCATGGACACCACCTCCGCCATCTCGAGACGCTTGTCCGGGTTCGCGTCCCAGCATCGCTTCATCACGTTCGCTAGCGAGCTTGGGCAGCAGCGCGGTATCTCAGGCCTCAGGTTCTGTGCAAAATTTTCATTTCAGCTCAGGCTTTCAGTGACAACACATGGCAGCAAGGAACGGGGAAGAGGCAATGTCTTATTTTCACCTGGCGAACCACGGCAGAGGTGACTTCAGAAAAGCTAAGGTCGGGGTACGGCATGTCACAGCAGTATATCTCCCACAGGCAGATCCCAAAGCTGTACACGTCACACTTCCTGTTGTAAGCATGGCCATTGAGAACCTGCATGCATATGCCAATGTAAGCCACAAGTCTACTCTTTGAAGAAACAGGAAATAAAAATGCAGTGCAGAGAAAGGAACCCAAACAAATTTCAGATCAATGGAAAAATCCTGCTGCCTTGCAGATGATACATCGGTGTGAAACAATGGATAATGCAGCTTCGAGAAGAGAATAGTGAAATCGTTGACCAAATTACTGAAGAGGTTAGAGGCCACGCATTCCGTGTGGTCTTTAAGATACTTCAGCTGTACCATGCAGGCATGTTTCCTGCTTATACTTAAGTGGTTTCCGTGCAAATACCTATTGATATAAAGGATAACTTCTCCAGGTGTGCAGTTTTAGAGTTAGGAACAGACGGATGGTTAAAATCAAATACCTCAGGAGCCATGTAACCAAGTGTCCCTGTTTCGCCCGTCATATCGCTAGGATTTGAAGCCTCAACTCGAGCAACACCAAAATCAGCAATTTTTACAGTTCTCGTTTTGTCCAGAAGCATATTTTCAGTCTTGACATCACGATGCACTATCTTCTTTGAGTGGAGATAGCATAATCTATTGAAACAACAGGTATCACAATCATATCTTCCAAGGCTACAGAGTGAAGACACATAACAACAAAGTTTCAGACAAAGATGAAGAAAGAAAAACAATAAATTATTTACCCCCTGGCAAGGTCAAGAGCTATTTGGACCACAACTTTAAAGGCAAGCTTCCTTCTCCTGTTCTTTATCAGAAAATTTTTCAGTGCACCTCCGGGAAGGTACTCAACAACAACGCAGCAAATATTACTTGGCATGCCAAGATGTCCATTTTCCGTCTGTATATTTAAATCTCTTGCACCCATTATAGCCCCAATAAACTGTCAGGTAAAAGTCAAGTTGTTGTTAGGATAGCTAGTTGCGCTTGGAAAGATATCGATATTCAGCAACAAGAAACAAGAACAGGTAATAATAGTAGATGATGATCCATATTGAATTTTAAAGATGTAAAAGAAAATAAAGCTCCTACATATTTCTAGGTAAATTTGCTATCACGTTGAAATCAATTAACATAGCATATGCAACTAAATCAATGACATAAAACCTCCAAATTTCTATTGTTCTTAAAATTTATCATGTATCAAATGGTACAAGAAAGGCTTTAGTGTCCATTACCAGTGGTTACAAGACTAATTTTGGGATACACTGCATGCTTTGAAACAAATTAGGACACATTGAAGCATCAAAAGAGATGGTAGTGCACTAGTGCTGCATATGCCCCCCACTATGCTGTCAGATACCCAGACATGGGGAACAATGTAAAGGCCAACAGCATAGAGATGATTGGACACATATTTCCGTACGTTGAAATAGATACCTCATGTGCTAGTAACCAAGTTTAACCATAGGGTTGAGATTAATAGTATCAGACAACAATTCTAGACTTTGCCCTATGAAACAAAGATAAACAATAACTGAAGAAGTGTCTTATATCAGCAGAGTTACTTAACCTAAGAAATTAGAAGGGGGAGGAAAAGGACTTCTTCAGGCAATGATTACCTTAGTAACGTTTGGATGGTCAAGCTTATGCCACACAGCGACCTCTTGTGCAAACGCTGCTCTTAGTGCAGCAATTTCTTGTTCTGATCTATGACCATCCTCGCCCCAGTCAAGCAATTTTACTAGACAGAAGATGGTGACATTTGACAATTAATATTGAAAAATGGAAGTTACGATGGTAAACATAAAGTTACTCACGCTGAATGTGCATTTTACTCCATATCTGCGATAATTATGAATTAAAGCATGACTGCTCAAGGATGGACAGAGCACATTCCAAATCTCAAAACTGTAGGTTAGCACTTGGTGAATAGGATGCACTTTGTTGCACATGTCAAACAACAATCTGTAAAGGGTCAAACTTACCATCCTTTTAAGCATGGTGTCTAAAATGGAACAATGAGACACCTATTAACGGTCTAGCATGAGCATGAAGCACACAGGGAAGTAAAGCGTGACAGATGAGAGGAGGTACTTTATGAAGGACAGTGAGGAAACCGGTATCATCACACAGCCAAAGTAGCGAATAATTCAAAGCATGCCGATCAACAACTTCAGTGAGCTTATGAATGCCTAAGATACATTTGATATAACATTCTAATCACACTTTAAGAATATATAAATGAATCGAATTAGATGGTGAACCAAACATATTGAGAGGGCAGCATGCATAGGGCGATAAAGTTCTGGACATACAAATCTTCTTTTTCATGAGTCATGTGTTTTTGCTTTAGCGGGACAGTGCCAAAATGTTAATTTAAATTTCTGGCTGCAAACCTCAGTGTATTTATTATCTTTTTTGAAACATTGGCCTGGTTCAGATGCTTTCCAATTTCCCTGGTCCCCTGAAAAGTGCAACACCAATCGCACGTTGCGACTTTTCGCCTGAAAAATCGGCAGCTTTATTCTGTAGCCTCCTGACTTGTAGGGGCTCATCATAAGATGAACACATGGATCATGCCTACGAAGAACTTTAACTGTTGGTTGGCTCGGATCACATGAGGGGGTTACACACCAAAAAGCTATAAGGGGACTTATCTAACAGAAGTCACGGAATACACCAAGGAACCGACCGAGAAAAGCAGAGGTATCAACTTTAGCAATTTGCTGACAAGGAAAAGCACAGATGACACGACAGGCGAAAACAACTGGCCAAACTATCTAGAACAACCACCTATAGCAAATGACATTGCTATCTAACGATCAATTTTGCTCACCACTCTAAGCAGGGAACAGAAAATGAAGCATGCATCAAAGTTTCGTAAGGACTTGCCGAGGAATCGATCAGATTAGGAACCAAATTCTAGCGCACGGAAGGAGAAGCTAGAGATAACTAGCGTGGCTATTTCGTCGAACAGTTCATGGACAATGAAAATTGGCTCATCATGGCTATTGCAAGCGTAAGCGTTAGCTGTGCAAAAAGTAAGTAGTGTGGATGCTGGGACGATACCGGCGACGTCCTGGCCGTCGTAGACGCCGCGGTGCACGGTGCCAAAGGTGCCGCGCGCGATAACACCCTTGATGACGAGCTTGGCGGGGTCGATCTCCCAGTCCTCACGGCACCGCCGCAGCGGCGTCAGCTCCTCCGGGCCCAACCTCGCGGACTCGCCGCGGCGGCACCCCATCCCGGAGGCTGGGCCGACTCCCCGCTCCGCCGGGCGTCCGAGGTGGCGCTCGAGCTGCTCGTCCAGGCTCTTAAGGTCGATCTGGTCCGCGCGCACGAACCCAGCGTCGCCGCCCGCGCTGGTGGGCTGCCTCATGATTGCAGTAGTTGGAGCCGGGAGCGCCCGGAAGGTGAGCGGCGGTGGCAGCGGATGCTGCGGGGTTGAGCGGCGTGGAAGGCCTCACGCGGTTTGGCTGCCGCAGTGGATGGTGGTGGCGGCGGCGGCGGCTACTGGGGAAGAGGAAGAGGTGGTGAGGCGGAGGTGGTTCGAGTTCGTGCGGGAGTCTCCATGTGAGCGCATGGGACAGCGGGTTGCCGAAGTAGGCACGGGGTGCGGAAAGCCGGGAAGGCAAGTGACGGCAGCAGGCCACGAGCCCAGGACTCGTGTTGCGGTTGCGGGCTCCACCATGGGCCGTCAGGAGGTTTCGTGTGTACACTCGGGGGCTGTTTGCTTGTGGCCTGTCAGCAGCTTACCCACCGGGCATACATCTCAACCTCACGTGTTTAAAATTAGACCCTGATAATGCTTGCTACGCCGATTAAGGGCGTATTTAGATATAATAAAGGTTAATTAAAAAGTCACAAAAGAAAAGATATAAAGGTTAATTGCTACCTAGTTCAAAATTAACTTTAGTATATCTAAATAGAAAGACTAATAGGTATGCTATTTTTTTTAGACAAATCTTCGCCTGCTCCCTCCGTCCAAGAATAAATGCACTTCTAGGAGTGGGCACGCAAACCAATGCTAAGATGAAATTACAAAAATACCCCTACAAACATCAACCAAGGCTCTAGATCACCTCAGGTCGATGTTTTTAATTGGAGTGGCATTAGAGATCGTGTTGGATATGTGGTTTTATTGTTACTCTCGGTCATTGTCGTCACCTAAACGGCTTGGTGCAGCATGACTACATCGAAACACTCAAT